GACACTAGTCCTGTGGTCTCTGTCACAATAGGAATTGTGACACAGAGAAGGAAACAAGTCAATTGTTGGAAGCGGGGTACAAACTTAGAATGACTGCAGGGCCTGAGCTCCATGCACCAGCTTATAGTGCTTTGCTGTTGTGCTGGAAGGTATGTGGAAGCAAAAAGATGTCAGAAGTTCAGCAGGTAAAATGGAAAGAGAAGAGGGGGGAACAAACAGAAAAGAGTGTTTCTGCTTTCTAGTTGAGCTGAGTAGCATGAGAGAAAATGTTCTCAATTTTGTCAGTGATATTTTTCCTATTTTACAAACTACTTAAGAATAATAAGGATTTTGCCCAGCATGGTGGTCTACAACTATAACCCCAGCGACTCTGGAGGTTGAGGCAGGAGGATCCCCAAATTCAGGCCAGCCTCAGAAATTTAGTGAGATCCCACCTCAAAATAAACAATGAAAAGGCATCGGGATGTAGTTCAGAGGTGGAATGCCCCTGGGTTTAATCCCTAGTGACATGAAAACAAAATGTTATAAGGATTTTATCCCTTCAATCATTCTAAAACTCTAGCATCGACTTTCTGTTCAATGCACAGTAGTCAATACTACTGTTAGGGTTTGGATATGAGGTGTTCCCTAGGAGCTCCTGTTAATGTAGGAATGTTTAGAGGTAAAATGTTGGATTCTGAGAGCTGCAACAATATCAACCCACCCTAGTTTGAATGAATTGTGTGGTAACTGGTGGCAGGCAGGTCATGGCTGCAGGAGGTAGGTCACTGGGGGTGTGCTCTGAAGGGTTCATGTTCCCTGTGGCCTCTTCTCCACTTCTGACAGACAGGTGGGCTATCTACTGAATACATTCTGATTGTCATGAATTGAGCAACTTTCTTCTACCACACCCTGTGCCATAATGTTCTGCCCCACCTCTAAGCTCAGAGAATGGTGTTGGCCCGGCATGGACTGAACCTCTAAAACTGTGAGCCAAAATAAATATAACTTCCTCTAAGTTGTCATTATCAGGTATTTTGGTCACAGGGATGAAAAGCTGACTATCATAAATTCCTCTATTGGAAGATATTTTGCCTGGCTAGGACATCTCATTATCTTAGTGGCATTTTATTTTTAAAATTATCTTGAGTACCCTGCTTATTGTCACTGCTCTGCATTTGGGTGTCAAGGAACACATTTGTCCTGTCTACTTTCACCAAGATATCTGTACATCATACTCTGAGATGACTTGACCAGGTGTATATCTGAAGATAATCTGAATATGCAAATGGATCATAGATACTATACAGCTTGAGCTCCACAAGGACCATGCTTCTCAGACTCCAACGTGCCTTCAAATCACCTGGAAGCATTGTTAAACAGCAAGATCTGAGAGTCTGCCTTTCCAACTAGCTTTACTCAAATGAAGCTGCTGATGCCAGTCTTTGGACCACAGTTCAAGGTCGAAGGTACTAAACTAGCATTTTCTTAAGTCTGCAGAGAAAATATGATTTGATTCCAAAGCCAAGAGAAAAAAGCATTCCCATAATTTTCTCATTAACTCCCAATTTTTATGTTTTTGTTTCTAAACAATTATCTATGAGCTATTTTTAAAGTAAAGGGCTTATATTTGGTTCCAAATCTGTTGGTTCAAGCATTTGTTTTCTTATTTGACTTCTAAGTTTTTGAAATTTATGCCTCTATTATAGATGCTATTATGGAGTTTCTCGTTTGAAACTTCTAGAATCATCTGGCTGCCACTAAAGTATAAGAATTCTTTAATCAGCATAAGCTAAACAGAATTCTGGACATTAAAGGGACTTCAAAATCAAATTTTAGGATTTCTCTGAAATTCTTTGGCCTAGTGGCCCTATTTTAATTAAAACAAATTTAGGAATTTCCTCAATTTTTACAGAGCTCTTTCAAGTGCCTTTGTCCCTATGGTCTTCTGGTCATTATCAACATCACTCATTTTTGTTCTGACAGGGAAACATATTGCACTCCTAATAGAGGCAAATGTAAAAGGACCTACACTTGTTCCCAAGATCAACTTGTACAAGAGTGACATAAATTAGTCATTGACAGAAATTTACCATTTTGAAAAGAAACATGTTTATTGCTTATCAGTTCAACATAAGTGATCCAAATAATATTATTTAGTCCAGAAATGCATTAATGGAAGCATAGTGCCTAGGACAAAGGTGGTAATGACTCTCTATTGGCAAAACCATACTTAGGGTAGTGTAGTGTTCAGGGGCTTGTGTGTGGCTGTAAGTCAGAAAGGGTGGTGGTCAGGCAAAAGGAAGTATAATTATGATTTATGAAAAAGATCAACAGGCTTCAAAAAGATAGGTTAAGGTGGTAAAAGTGCATCAGAGAAATAAAAGTAATTTTTGAAGTGTGTACATGTGAGCTTTTAGTAAAAGTTAGTAAATCCTAAGTATGATGGATGATTGGATGGGTAGGTGGGTGGATAGACAGCCCGTCTATCTATTGAATACATTCCATGTGCCAGACACTCGGCCAAATACATGCTAGGTGATTTTGTTCTCCAAAAAAATCCTTTAAAATTGGTATTATCCCCATGTGAAATTGATAAATATGAGGGATAGAAAAATAAGTGATCTGTCCAAAATCTTTGACCACATACTTTTTGTTCTTAACCTCTAGTTTCTAACCCTGTATGACAGCTAGAGAGGTGCACTGCTCAGATCTCCCTTAAATACCACACAGGCAATTGCAAAGAATGCATTTAATTGACAGCCTCTGGTGTTAGCCTCCTTAGGACCTGTGTCAGCTCCCTATCAGAGACCCTGATGTTTCTGAAGAGGCTAAGCAGTGACCAAGCATGGCAAGTGTAGCAGGGTCTGGACACTCCTGCCATTATGGGGCATCTATAATGGATGGTCTTTCCTCTGGAGCTTTGAGTTGTCATAGAATTCATCAGATCAGTGTTACAGCCTGAAGCCTCAAACTGCCTAATTCTGCCTCCTCCCACTCTCTCCCCTCTTTTATCATCTCGGGAATTATTCTCAATAAACTTCTTCTACTCCACAGTCCATCTGGGCATCTATTTCACAGAGAACCCACTGACACACCCTGATTCCAAATATTTGGAGTGTTCTAAAGAGCATTTAGAATTGTTCCATGTGGCAATAAAAGGTTGAATTAGGACAAAACGACAGAACTACTGGAGAAGCAGCTTTCACATAAGGAGGAACTTTCTGATGACTAGAACCACCAAACAATGGCTGTGTCGAGACTAAATTCCATATCACTGTAGTCATTCGGGTCAACTGCAGAACTGCTCCTTGTATGAAGGCTGTGTGGCATTACACATGCCACCCCATACAGAATATCTAGGTTGCTAAACATCCTCTATGATAATTGACTAGCAAAACCAAATTGTTCAGGAAATCACACCAGAAAACCAAACCTCTGATTTTTTTTTTTTTTTAAGTGCTCCAATGGGGCTGGTATGATACATCCATACTTGTCCATTCCTAGGGAAGTTCAGTGGTGTCTGGACCAGAATGGCCATTGTCCATCTAGAAGCAAGTGAGCAGTTTTCCCCTTTAGTCAGATGCCCCCTCCATTTTTAATGATAAAAGGAGGGGGAAAAAAGTTTAAAGTGGCTAAAGACCATTTCTGTTCAAAACAGAGAAAACATAAATGCCACCAAAGAATAAGACTTCTTTAGTCAGCGTAAGCTAAATCCAGAATTCTGGACATTAAAGGGACTTAAAAATCACATCTTGGGATTTCTCTGGAATTAGTTCTTTGGCCTGGTGGTCCTATTTTAATTAAAACCAATTTAAAAATTTTCTTTTTTTTTTTAATCGGAGAACCTCTAGCAAATGAGTTAAGGCTGTGAGATGTTTGCCTCCATGAACCATGTGGTGGGATCAAAACAAAACTTTACAAATGCTTAGGCTGAAAAACAGTCTGTAATGCAAGGATCAATAACTAATAAGTTATTTTTTGTTGGTGCATTATAATTATACACAATAATGGGATTCTTGTGATACCTCTATTCCTGCACATAACTTGGTCAATTTAATTTCACAGTATTTCCCCTTTACCTGGCCCTCCTCCCTCCCCTGTTTACATTCCTCTACTCTATTGGTCTCCCTCTTATTTTTGAGATTTTACCATACTCTTTTATCTCACATTGGAAGCTAGAGGAAAAAGAAAAAAAATATATTCCCCTTGACTTTGAGTTTTGCTTATTTTACTTAATATAATGTCCTCAAGTTCTACCTGATGTAGTTCTAACACAAATTATTTTCAGACAACTTGCCCACTACAGCCAGAAAGATGTTTTTCCTCAAGCCCTTATCTCCCTCCCTTCATCAAGACACAGGCACACCAAGGGGGGGAAGACATATTTTGTGGCCTTTCGAGATTTCCATGATGGTCATATGATATAATCATATCTGAGAGTAACATGAAGGGCCGGGAAAGTTTGGCAGAAAAAAAAATCTAACATAATCAGCATAGGAATCTGTATATAAGGAGGCTTTCGTTACATGTACAAATATTTATTAAGTACCCACCAAGAACTAGGCTCCCTTGCAGGTGCCTGGGATAAAACAAAATGATCAACTGAGTTCCTAATGTTATGAAGTTTTGTACTTAAAGGCCTCAAGAAACTTGACTGACCCTTCACTGAGAGGAGCAATTGCAGGATCAAAGCTACAACCACCAATAAGGATCCCAAAGAGCATACCTTGGAGCCTTCAAACTGCTATCTTTTTCCTCTCTGCCCACCCTCAAAACTCTGCAGCATCCCTGACATGTTTAGTCTACATTTTCTGGAAATATTTTATTAGACTAAGAGGGTTCTGAAGCAAATTCATAAAGTTTACAAGAAGAATTTTTTTTTTCTTTAAAAGCAAGCTCAGCAATATTTGGGGGTTTTGAAAACTGATGATGCAGCTGACCTACTGGAGAAAAAGCAGTGGGAGGGTCCCTACTGGTATAAATAAATAGTAGCTCCATGCTGCAAACCCACAGCTTGGAAACACAGCTGAAGTCTGAACTCCACCTCCAGGCAGGATGAGGCTCATCTCAGCAGCTCTGCTTCTCATGCTCCTGGTCAGCAGCAGCCTCTCTCCAGTCCATGGTGAGAACTTTCACTTATGTTTTCACTGTGCTTTGAACAGAAATGGTCTTCAGCCATTTCAATCTTTATTTTTTCTTTTTTCAACTAAAAACTGAGAAGACACCCGATTAAAGGGGAAAACTGCTCAGTTGCTTCTAGATTTATTAAAGTGCTTTAGGATTTTACTCTTAGAAACTGGTTGAGATTTTTATTTAAAGAAGGAAGAGATATTGACTGGAGTCCAATGTTCATGTAACTTGTATTAGGTTTGTATAGTCCTGGCCTTTTTCAGATAAGCTCCTGCTTTCAATTCTTTTCACATCTCTTCTTTTTTCTGCCTCTCAACGTTAACGCCTCTCACCAGGCCCTTTATAGGGTCTAAATGTTACTGGCGTTATCTGGTCTCCTACTTTGAAATTTTTCAAGTCCATAGCACACGGTTAGGTCTGACATCAGCCATTGTAAATACATCAGGGAGAGTTCCAAATCTAACTGGGGCCTCTATTTCTCTGTGAACATATACCTACTTGAAGTGGCGAGTTTTTATTGTACTGAAGGAATGGATGCATATGCAGAAAGAAACACCGTTCAAGTTTAGTGAACACATTTTTATTCTTAAAATACAGAGGGGTGGGTTTTCCCCCATTTTTGTTTTCACATTTTATTTTCATGCTTCAAAAATTGCATTTCTCACCTCCTCCAGGAAGCTTTCCCATTGATCTTTGCAAAGTTACCTGTGACTTAAGTCCTCTTTTCCCAGGATGCAGTAGAGAGCTTAGGTATACAACCACCTTGTATGGGTTTTATGCACTTGTTTCCTCTACTAACTTGTAAATGCCTGAAAAATTTGGCCCTTTTATTTATAAAAGCATGTCTAGTGTGGTGGTAGACACTCTGGGTTAAGAGAATTTGATAAACTATTTTTTGAAAAAGCTTAGCTTTCACTAAAAATGCATGATTTACTTATGAAGATATGGAGTACTAATAACTTGTTGAATGAAAAGTCTTGAATTTTTATTATTATTCGCATCTCAACAGGCAGAGAGGGTGTGGAGAATATAAGAGGAAGAACTTTGTTACAAATTTGCAGAAGCAATAACATGTTATAACTAGGTCATGTTCTTTGTTTTTATATGTTGGGAGTGAAAATCAGTTGACTTTTATATAGCATTAATTATAACTCGGTTGTATGTCCCTATAGTGGCAGTACTTAAATGGAGGATCACCTGAGTACTAGTATACTAATACCACAAATTGGCTGGGGATGTGGCTCAAGCGGTAGCGCGCTCACCTGGCATGCGTGCGGCCTGGGTTCGATCCTCAGCACCACATATAAAGAGGTTGTGTCCACCAAAATAAGAAAAAAAAATTCTAAAAAAAAAAAGAATAATACCACAAATTAAGTGTTTTTCAAAGCTAATCTTATTTTATGGTTTTGGTGGAAAATGTTTAAAAATACTCAAATCAAGACAAACAGAAATATACAAACTAAGGCATATTTGGCTGGAAGCACTGGCTGGAAACTTTTAAATCCTCAACTGCACAATATGAGAAATTGGTAATAAAATTCTAGGTATACATTAAGTGTCAAAGGAATTTAAATAGCTAATTCTGTGTTTGCAGGTGTTCTGGAAGCCTATAACACAAACTTGAAGTGTAGCTGTGTTCAAGGGACCTCAGACTTTATCCATGTAAGACAGATTGGTCGACTTCAAATTATACCTCCTGGGAATGGTTGCCCAATCAAACAAATCATGTAAGTTGCAAGGGAAAAAAATATGTATGATTCCTTTTTCCTAATGAAAATCAGATCAAATATTACTATACAACTAGAACCCTAAAAGAGATTTACTTGAGTGTTGCTAAAAATTCTAAAATAATAAAATTTGGAAATATTTAGGTACTTGTCACAGCCCTTGAACTAAGTGTTTTATACTCGGCTATTTTATTCCTTCAACTACTGCATTCAGGCATGTCTATTGCTGTCAACTCCTTTACAGATAGACAGAAACAGAGGCTTAGCAAGCTTAACTGCCTGCATGATGCACACCATTAGAAAGGGAAGGATCCAGACCACACCCACATCTCCCCCATCCAAGGTGTCTTCTTCACAGAACCTTGAAGTATGCAATAGAGATAAGATCATTCTCGGGGCTTGCCTGATTTTTTTTTTTTTTGGTAGCTCTTCCCATGGAAACAGTAAAACAATTTTTTTAAAAAATCATGCTTTCCTTAAAGTCTAATTAAACCACAATTATTGTCCTCAAGCTCAAAGATGTGAAGTCTAACTATAATGTGTTTAGAGCAGTTCCTCAGTCTGCATAGAAAAGTAGAACTCCTTTCTTTTTATTGTATGTCAATTGGCATGACTCAAGTCTCTCACCTCTCAACCGGAGGAAGTAAGGCACCCTAATTTTCTCTGCTTTAAGGTCAATAGTTTTGAAATGACAAAAAATTGCCTGTCTTCAAGAAAATCTGAATTTCTGAATTTTAACCAGATATAGAAATAAAAGTTGCAAGTTATGAGAAACTCCTACCAGCTGGAGGTGCAAATACAAGATGATTAGAAATCTTATTTTTCCATCATGAACTCAGAAACCAAACTGGAAGATGCTGCCTGAGAACCCATCTATTCCATGACTTCTGACATTCCTAAGATTCACCTACAGCAGTGGAGTTTCAAAGTTAGATGGATGGATCCTTGCTATATAATAATTTATAGCTGAGACAATAGACACATCAAAAATTATGTGTTTTGTTTTTTTTTTTTAAATCACACCAGTAGAGTAACATCTCCCAGTTTTCTATCACCTGGGAGATACCACTTTTCCATTGCATGCAAAACCTTTAGCTCTATGTCTAGCACTTGATAACTATTTAAACACTGCTTTCCATGAACATGACCTAAAGTGTAGAATCTGAAAATCAGATAATCTTCCTTTGAGTTTTGTTCAATCACGTATTTGCTGTGCAATGTTGGACAAGATTATTTGAATTCTTTAAGCCTCAAATTTCTCATCGGGTAAGAAAATAATTCCTCTAACATAATGCTTTTGTCAGATAAATTGAAATAATCCATGTTACCTGCTAAGCATAGCATGTGACGCATTCTGAGTATAGTATTGGATAATGTGATCCATTAACTGTTCTCACTGCTTTTGTTGTTGCTTAATTCCTTAGAGCAAGTAAAGCCTCGTTAGCTGGTGGTTCCACAAAATGTCACTCGGAGCAATCAGCTATTTAACCTCACCTACATTAGATTTCATTAACTTTTTTCCTGATAAAAGGTCCTCAAGTATTTTCTATAGCTTTTATTGTTCTCCCCCATTCATTGAACAAGCACATTTTAAAGATATTGTGATATCACTTTAGTAGTGAGTCAACCTTAGAGTCTATTTGGTCCTTCTCCAACTCAAGTAAAGGTGGTCAGCAAAACACTGACTTCTGACACATGAGACTTTGTCAACTTGCATTCAGCTCCACAAGCTCTCACTTACTGGTCTACAAGTGGTTGTTTCTTATTCCTCAGATCTCATGTCACAGATCCAAAACAACCCAGCTTTGATGTCACTTCACCTAGGAATAATTATTTTCATACCCAACCCTTTGCTATTAAAAATGCAAGACTGACTAAAATGTAACACTGTCTTATTTTTATTTTTGCTAATTTCCCCCTTAGAATCAGGTTGAAGAATAAGACAACTGTGTGTGTGAACCCTCAAACCTCATGGATCAAGAAATTAATAGAACATTTACCAAAGTAAGTCATACATACCAAGGGGTTTCAGATTCCAATTTGTACTGAAAGATTTCCCTTTGCTAGGCAGTCAAAAGGGGATAATTTTAAATTTGAGTTACTAAGACAAATCCTTGCTTTTTGCTACATCTACATAGAGTAGAGCTAACTCATCCCAGGAGTTCAGTAAACTAAATTAGAAAGTAGTAGGTATGATATTCCTTATTTGATATCTCCAGGGAAAAGCCATCATTTCTGGTATGTTTCTCTAAGCATGACTTTTTGGGTTTGTTTTTACTTCACAGAAAAAAATTGTTTTCAACTCAAGCTCCAGCGATGAAGAAGATCGGCTGATGTCAACGTCCCCCCTCAGAACACCTGCATTCCCTGCTTATCCTTGCTCTGGATTTTAGTTTTGTTCTTTATTAAAACTTTTCCAAGAAAAGCAATTTCCCTGTACAAACGAGCATTAAGACTCAATGTAAAAATAAACTGCAGAAGCTGATGTGGGTCAACTCAAGCCTCTTCATACCCATACTTTGCAATCTCATTTAGGGAGGAAAGTTTCTTTGAAAATAATTTAGTAATCGCATAGGATTCTTTTGATAATGTACCTTGTTTAATAGTAATCTGTCCTAGGAAGTATGGGAATGAGAATTTAAACTTCAAATATGAATTTGAATTGAATTAAGATGAAAATGGTGGAAAGTGTTAATCATTTTACCCTAAGAAAGATTTCCATGAGAGACAAGGCTGCGTATAAACCCGATACAGCTTCGTTCTAATGCTCAGAGGGCTCCAGAGTAGATATCCTCTAAAACCCAATTTTAATTCTTGCCTGGCGTACGTAAGGCCCTGGGTTTGATCCGCCTAGTACCCCCCCCACACACACACATATATACATACACACACAAAGAATAAAACCATTTTGAGGAGATTGAGATCCTTCCTCCACTTTTACAGAGTTCCTTTGTAATACTTATTTTCTCAAAATAATAACATTGAAATATACCCAGGCTTAAAATTTCAGAATATTCAGGAAAAACTAAAAATCATATAGATTTATTCTTTTATACATTAGTCTTGACAAAGTTTTTATTCGTCTTTTGCATGGACAAAATACCAGTCTCTGGTATCAAATTCTTTAATGTTTCTTGTTAATCTGACATCCTCCAATAAACATGAGCAAGCATTTTTCTTATGAGCATTTTGTTTTTTATAAGAGCTTTATAGTTGTACATAATAGTTGGGTTCATCATGATAAAATCATATGCATGGAATGTGTGCCCCACACACCATTTTCCCTCCCCCTGTCCCTTCTATCCTCCTTCCCCTCCCCCATTCTCTTTCCCTTTCTCTGCTAGAATTCCTTTCACTCATCCATTTATTTATATTTTATTGGTTCTTTTTACTTAAAGGTGCAGTTCCCTGTGGTATACTTTAGTCATGATTTTTTTAAGAATTCATTCTGCATTGCCTCCCCTGTCCCATTCCTCCACTCTGCCTCTTGATCTCCTCCTACTCTACCGATGTAAGCTTTTGATATCCTATTCTTCCCTCCTCCTTTCCTTTATTTTACTCTAGCTTCCACATGTGAGAGGAAACAGCCAACCTGATTTCACTTAGCATGATATTCTACACTTCCATCTATTTACTGACAAATGCCATAATTTCATTTTTTATGGATGAATAGCACTCTGTGTATACATACCACAATTTCTTAATCTGTTGATGAGCATCTGGGTATATTCCATAATTTAGCTATTATGAATAGTGCTGCTATAAATATTGAGGTGGCTGTATTGCTGTAGTATGCTAATTTTAAATCTTTTGGGAAAATACCCAAGAGTGGAATAGCTGGGTTATATGATGCTTCCATCGCTAGTTTCTTGAGGAATCTCCATATTGCTTTCTAGAGTGTTTATACAAATTTTCAGTCCCACCAACAATGGTACAAGTATACCTTTTCCCCCACATCCTCACCAGTATATATTGTTTGTATTCTTGATCACTGCCATTCTGACTGGAGTATGATATCTTGGTGTAGTTTTGAGCCAGTTACTTCACCACACGGTGTCTCGGCTTCTCTAGCTATAAAGTGGGGGTGATGTGAAATGGTGTTTTGTGATCACTAGAGATTGAACATTTTTTCATATGTTGGCCATTTTTTGTTTTTTGTCTTGTTTTTTTTTGTTGATAGCAAGGATTGAATCCAGGGGCACTTAAACTCTGAGCCACATCCTTGGCCTTTTTCCTTTTTATTTTGGGACAGGGTCTCACTAAGTTGCCCAGGCTGGTTTTGAACTTGTGACCCACCTGCCTCAATCTCCCAAGTTGCTGTATACACTGACGTGCACCACCATGTACAGCCATTTGTGCGTCGTCTTTTAAGAAGTTTCTGTTTAGTTCTATTGCCCATTTGTTGACTGGGTTATTTGTGGGGGGTTTTGGTGGTTTTTGAGTTCTTTATATATTCTGGATAGTAATCTTTTATCGAAGGAGTAACTGGCAAAGATTTACTCTGTAGGCTTTTTCTTCACATTCTTTATTGTTTCCTTGAGCAATTTGTTCTTTTTGAGTGAACAAAGCAGATTTTAAAAATTTCACTGGTTCTTTTTAGTTATACATGACAGTAGAATTCATTTTGTTATAATTATACAAGCATGATTGAGCCATTCTTTAGTTCCTCTTAATGGAACGTAAGAGTTCATCATAGTAATTTTTTCTTTGCATATCAGTCTTTTACAGATGATCTAAAATTGAGCAGGCAAATGAGTACAGTTACTTAGTGTGGGAGTGCCTGACCAAGAGAGCTTCTTTCAAAACCTGACATACCAATCATGACTTCCTCCAGACTTTGAACTCTTCATCAAACACATCCTCCATGTCTCATCATATTGATTCTTAATGTCTCCAGTGTTTCATTTAACAAAGTTTTGCACTGAGTTTGACAAATGGAAGGAGGAACTTAAACTCCTGTCCCTTCCTTCCCACCACCTGAGCTCCACAGCCTGCTCATACCTCCTGGACTTCCCTGCACAATTCTAAGCTCTCTCTGGCTCCCTTTATAATTAAATTTCTGAGGAGGGAATAATATGAATACTTTGTTTCCTGTAACTGAACACATTTAATTATAAATACAAAGATTATAAAGTGTCAAAATTGGGCAATCTAGTGTTTCTGTCTTCAGTATTTAGAGATGAGGAATCATTTTCCTGCTTTACTTTGATCTAGATCCTCAGGAACCTCAAATGAGAAAGGCCACCATTTCACATCATCCCCACTTTAGAGAAGCTGAGACACCGTGTGGTGAAGTAACTGGCTCAAGGCCTTTACAGATACTAAATGACAAGTCCAAATTAGAACCCAGGCACGCAGCACTAGGACCCATGCTCTAACCACCACACTGTGCTGACTCCGTAGGAGGTAGATAGTATCCGTAGGAGTAGACATTTAACTGCTCCAGTTCATATGAGTAATACGAGACAAACCAGAATTTGAGCCCAGGGTCACCTGAATCTTAAGTGAATGTTCTTAATCATGAGGCTGCTTCAAGTTTTTCCTAAATATATTTCTTAGCCCATTTTCCCATCCTCCTTTCCTAGCCCAATTAAAGCTAGGAACTATTGTACAGTAGAGTGATTATTGATAAGAATAATGTACTCTATATTTTAAAAACTAGAAGTTTTAATGTTTTTGCCACAAATGATAAATGTTTCAAGAAATAGATATACTTACCCTGATCTCAACATTATGCAATGCATAAATGTATCAAAATATCCATGGTTCCCCATAAACATGTACAGTTCTTAGGTGTCAAAAATGAGAAAAGCAAGCCAAGGAAGAGCGGAGCTTGCTGCAGCTTCCAACCTCCCCTGGGTTGAGGCATTCTTCTGTGTAGTCCAATTCTAGGAGATTTGGGCCACTGAGACAGAGTGAGGCAAGAAGACACTGGGCAAAATCATAGTACATTTAAGGATAGCCTGGTTTGGAACAGGAAGCTTAAGTGATAATTAGATGCAGGAAAATTTGTTGTACCAGTTAATGGAGCATCTGGGGGAAAGCCTGGAAGAGAAGAAATGTGAAACAGGCAGAATTTGGGTAATTATGACTATGTATGTATATATACACATGCATATGCAAATTAATTAAAATGCAAAGTAAATAGAATTGGAGGAAAACTACAAAGTCATCTGACTAAAGTGGAATGGTTGGCTCTGGGAGGCTGAATGAAAGCTAGAAGGCCAAGCTGCACTGGATCTCCTGGCAGCAGAATGCAAGAAACCACAAACAAACCTAGTTGAGCCTCACTTGTGCCACTTTCACTCATCCCACCAGCAGAAACCTAGGAGCAAGAGATTCTGCTGTGCCAAACAAAGAATGCAGCCCTGGCCTTAACTTGAAATGATCTGCCAGATGTTTGGGCTTCATTCTCTTATCTTCCATTTTCCATGAGTTTCCTTTCAACAAACCTTCCCTTCCATGAGATGTGCCATTTTATTGCTCCCAACTTGAGATAGGAGTTGGTGCATGTTCCAAGGTCTTCTTGCTCTGGTGTAAAGTTTGGTGGTATTTTGCAGCAGAATTAATGTTCTTGTCTATAAAAGAAACTCCATGGAACTGAGGAGGAGGACCCCCAGGAATCCAGAAGGGTGACATTTGAAAGAGAAATCATACCATCTTGTAACCCCCGACAAAGGCAGGTTTCTCCATGTGTTCTCTAAAGACCATCATCCACATCACCCAGAAACTTGTTAAAATACATATCCTCCAGTCCCTCCCATCCTTACTGGACCAGAAACTCAAAGGAAGAGCTCAGCAATCTGTATTTAACATGCTATTTTATTCTGTATTTGAAGGAAAAGGATTTTGCCCCTTGTTCCTAGCACAAAACTCTTAAAACCCTTGGAATTTTTTGATTGATAGAAGCAACTCTCATTATTCATAATGAGCCTCTGTCAACCCATACCCAAGTTTAGGCTAAAGAGAGATTAGCAGGCCACTAGACAACTTCAGGTTGGGGGCTAGCAGACAGAGGAACCAACCATGTTTATATTTGGTTGGAACTTTCAGCACCCTTTATCCCACCCCCACTAAGGAAACAAGAGGGTGTGGAGATTGAATTAATCAACTAAGGACAAAAATTTAATTGATCCTGCCAAAATCAACATTAAAAACCCTAAAACAGGCTGGGGAGATAGCTCAGTTGGTGGAGTGCTTACCTTGCATGTATGAGGTCCTGGGTTCAATCCCAAGCACATACAAAAAAACACCCTAAAACAATGGGGTTCAGAAAGCTCCAGGTTGGTAAAGACATTTAGGTGCTAGGAGGGTGGTGTACCTGGAAAGGACACGGAAGTTCTGTACCCTCTTCTCTTTCCTTGCCCTAGGTATCTCTTCCATTTATATGTATATGTTCCTGGGTTGTTTCATTTATAATAAACCCATATAGTAAATAAAGGGATTTCCTGAGTTCTGAGTCATTCGGGCAAATTACCAAATCTGAGGAGGCTGTTATGGGAACCCCTGAAATTTTAGTTAGCTTGGCAGAAATGTGGCTAGGCTGGGCACCCCATCTGCAACTGGTATCTAGAACGTGGGCAGTCTCATGGACTAAGTCTGTAATCTGTGGGGTCTGAGCTAACTACAGTTAATTTCAGATTTGAATTAAATTGTTAGACACCCAGCTGGTGTCAGAATCAAAGGGTGGAAGAATTGGATGGTGTCAATAAACACCTGAGAAAAATTCTTTCACAAACACTCCAGGTGATTATGATGATGAAAAAGCTTGAAAAATATTATTCAACTCTCACAGTACATTTAAGCCATCTAGGGAGCTTGCTTTTTCTTACATTGGGTTCATGACGTTGTAGTTCCACCTACAGTAAAATTCATGCTTTTTAATGAATTTAAAATTCATCCCAGCCCCTCCTCTGTTCCTATAGTTCTGCCTTTTCCAATGTATCATAAAAATGGAACCATACCTCCTACTGCCTTTTCTCTGCCTATTCTCACTTAGCAGAAGGATTCTGAGACTCATCTGCCATTGAATATATCACTATTTTCTTCCTTATTGTTACTATTATTCCAATGTATGAATATATCACAACTGGTATATTCATTCACCAACTGACAAACATTTGAGTTGTTTCCAGTTTGGGGCTCCCATGAATGAAACTGCTGTCAACATTTATTATAAGTTTTTGTGCAAGCATATATTTTTGTTTCTTTCTGGTAAAGGAGAGACACTTACTCTCTGGTAAATGCCTAGAAGTAGGATGGCTGGGTCATATGATGGATGTAGGTTCAACTTAACACAAGCTGTTAAATTGTTTTCCAAAATATATGTACCATTTTGCATTCCTACCAGCAATATGAGAATTCTAGTTACTTTATGTCTCTGCCAGTACTCAGTATTATTGTTATTTTTAAATTTTAATTTAATAGCCATTACTATCTTGTGATCTTAACTCATACCTCCAGGTTTAACTCATATCTCAGGTTTTTATGTGTATATTTGAGATCTATGTATCTACAATTAAAATCTACCTTATATGGAATATGTTTTTTCTTTCATTGAGTTAACATTGTTAACACTGTCAAAAAGAAATTGGCCAAATGTATAAGTCTGGACTATTATCTTTCACTGATTTTTATGTCTATTTTCATTCCAATACCATGTGAACTTGATTAATATAGACTAATATAAGCCCTAAAATTCTGTAGCAAGAATCTTCAAAATTTGTACTTTTTCAAAATTGTTTTGGCTCTTCCAAGTCATTTCTTTTTCATCTAAATTTTAGAATTGCCTTGTCAATACCCCCCAAAAAATAATTTTGATTTGGATTGTGTTGAATATATATATCAGTTTGGGTAGAATTGGCATCTTAATAAAATTGAGTCTTCCAGTTT